CCAGCCCGCCCCGCCCCGCTCGTGGAAGGACATGGGCCGGGCGGGCATGGCGGGGCTGGGCTGGGCGCCCTCGTACCCCACAGCCCCAAAGGCACTGCCGCCGTTGGGGGCGGAGCTGAGCCTCCGGTTGCCGCTCAGGTCCACAGCTGAGCGGGAGGACCAGGAGCCTGGACTATAGGCTGGCTTGGCGATGGGCCGGAAGGTCTGCGGGCAGGAGGAGAGCAGTAAGGGGGTGCCTGGAGCCTCACCGTGGAGCCCCCTGCTTCGTCTGGATGGCAGAGCTCACTGTCCCCACTCAGATGGCTCCCATCACTCACCGAGGTCTTGTCCCCGCTCAGGCCCTGGGAGCGGGAGCTGAAGCCAGACTGCAGGGTGTGGTACTGCGCTCTGGACGTGCCTGTGGAGAGACGGCTATGTACTGCATCCCGCCTCCCCTCTGCCAGGCATCCCTCTGTGACCCCAGGGCAGGGAGGCCATGTCCCCGTCCCTGCCATAGCCTCGTCTCTCACCCAGCATTAGCCCTGGTGGTCCAGTCCCCACTGTCCCACCTCCAACTGCCCCTTCTGCCGCAGGAGAACAGATGCGCTCACCCACTGACCTGGCCGCCTCCTCCAGGAAGCCAGCTCGGCCTGCCCCAGCACACACTGACCTCCTCAGAGTTCCCCTGTGCCCAGACCCCATGTGTACTGCAGTCACGGGGGAGTGGCACTGCCCCGGCTTAGGACACGTAATCTCCCTCGACCAGTCTGCCCTGCTGGGCAGTGCCCTCTCCCACCTGGCAGAGCCTGAGGCAGGGACCACACCTGCCCCATGAAGCCACACGTAAGCCGAGAGCCACAACATCAGCCCGACTCCACAGTGAGTGGACAGAGAGGCGGGTGGGTGGATGGCGGGGGGCAGGAGGGTGGAGAGACGGGTGGGAGGAGACAGGGAAGGCTGATTGGCTGTTTGAGAGAATGAAGGGACGGAGGGAAGGGGCAGTGAGGGCCATGGGAGGGAGGGCCATGGGAGGAAGGCCAATGGGCACTTGGGTGGGTGCGTGGGCGGGTGCACAGGGGGCAGAAAGTTGGGGTGTAGCTGGTGGGGGGCAGGCAGCTAGAAAATAGACCATCCAAGATCCACTGGGTAAGGGCTGAATCCAAGACAAAGCAGGGGCGGCCTGGGGTGCAGTGGTGACCGGGTGATGCCGAGGCAGGGACCGGGGAGGGTCTGGCCTCCACCAGGGTCCCTGCTCATAGGAAGGGCCCTCGGGCTGGAGGCCTGCGCAGAACAACTTGGTTAAAGAGGCTCCAGGTGAGGGTGCAGGGCAGGGGGTGGAGCCAGATGGAATAGGGGACTCCCCACCCAGCATGCTGCCCAGACCCACCCTGGTTAATGGGGCTTCTGGGCAGGGGCTATTAACCCTTTGACGCTAGTAAGACCCAGCCTGGGGACCTTACTCCACGCCCAAATTATAATCCTCCCCTAATTGGCAGGGGGGTCAAAGCGGTAATTAACCCCTCCCTGCATCCTCCTCCACCCATGACCCCTGGTCACCAGCAAGGCTGAGGCCCAGGGAGGACCCTGCATCCAGGTCTCTGATGGCTGACCCCTCTCCCCCTGGCTGGTGCCTGGAGGCCAGTCCTGGGAAAGGTCCCTCTAAATGTCACATGGGCCAGTGTGGACAGAGGTCTGGGCCCTGAGGTTGTGGGAAGTCCGTCTCACTGTCTAGCCTGAATCCCTGTTGCTGTCCCTGGCAGGGGAGGAAATGGCATTTCTAGAATGACCGCCCTGCGCTCCCGTCAGCGTGATCCTCTAGCACGCTCCCCCAGCAGGGCCAGCATTCAGGGCCTGGCCGGCACGAGGAGCACCCCAACCTGCTGTTCTCACCGAGTATCTGGGGCACTCTGGCACGCCTGCCTCCAGCAATTCCACAGGGAGTCCCTGGTCCAGACAGGCCCTGGCTCTTGTTCAGGGTTTCCCAGACACCTCTCGCCCATTTCTGTTGTGCTCGTTTGGGGACTAAGGGGCTGGTGGTAAGGCCTCTGGAGCCCGAGGGTCTGTGCTGTGTGAGCTTGTGTTCCATGGGGCCAAGCAGGTGCGTGTTCCGGGTTTACCAACGGATGGGCCTGGCCTGTGCTCTGTCTCCCACAGGGAGGGCTCAAGGCCCAGGGGGCAGGTGAGGCCCAGCCAGCCTTGTCCCAGGGACCCAGGGGTCCCTGCTGGGGTGGGACGCCCCACCCATGGCGTCTCCCCACGCTCGTTGGGGCGGGGCGGTGACTCAGTGCAGGGCCTCAGTGAGTCAGGGAGCTGAACCCCAGAGCCCGGCCTCTGCGGCCTCTGCCCCTCGCACCACGCCCCCCGCGGCCACCTCTGCCACTGCCATCCCCCCTGCCTCCTCTTCCCCACCTGGTGCCCCCCGGGCGGCTTAGCCTACCTCTGGCCACCGGGGCCGTGCCTTCCGCCTCAACGGCTCCATTGTGCCGTGGCTGCTGGCCCAGCTGCAGGAGGCGGGCACGAACCTGCTCCTGGACTCGGGCTGCCCGTAGCCGCTCGGCCTCCGGCCCCTCAGCGCCCCGGCGGTCCAGCTGCAGGTCCGAGGGCAGTGCGAGGGAGCACACGCCAGCCTCAGGCTGCAGGGCCGACAGCAGGAAGTTACCGTCCTGCATGGCGGCCGGCGTGCCTGGCCGGGCCCGTCTGGCCTGGACCTCTCCGGCGGTAGCCTCCAGCCTGAACTGTCTTCACCGTCTTGTCCCTTGAGGCCCTGTCCCCGGAGAAGTCCCCTCCCCGCTGGCCGCGCCCAGAGCCGGCCAGGAGACAGGAGCCTGCCCAGCCCAGAACTCAGCTGGGGGCGGGGACACCTGGGCCAGGTGGGAGGGAGGGGCTGCCGTCTGCTTAAGGTGGAATCTGCCGGAAGCACGGGCCCGGCGTGGCCTGGGGTCTCAGAGCCTCCCTGCCTCCTGGCCCTGTCCCAGGACAAGGCCACAGGGGTCTTGACCCTCCTGTTGTGAGCTCTTGGTGTGAGTGGGGTGTACTGGAGCGTTAAGGGCGGGCTGAGAGCCCGCGAGGGAGAAGATGGCCTGCCTCCTGACCCCCGGTGGGCTGGGGGCGCTAGGTAGCTCCTAGGACCAAGCGGCCTCTGAGGCGACCCAGCCCTGGTGGGGTTGGTATCAGAGGCAGGTGTGGTGCCAGGGGCCAGCGCTCTGGGAGGGAGCTGAGGACAAAGGACTGCAGGCTGGAGCTCCAGGGCCCTACAGGCCTGGAACAGCTCCCAGCGCCCTCCTCCCAGCACCTCTGCAGAGGCTTCAAAAGGGCTGGCTTGGCCCTCTCTGGCTCCTGGGACCCTGGCACCCTTCCCCGGCGCCTGCCCCCCAGGCCGTGGGGTGGGAGGCCCGTTCCCAGCATATGAGTCAGGGCACCACGGCGGGCTGGTGCGGGGGCAGGCGGGGCTGCCCCAGGGGGCTGACTCAGAGGGGCCTGGACTCAAGTCTGTGCCTGCCCGGCTGAGGGTGCTTAGGGTGCTGAGGGTGCTGAGGGTGGGCAGGCGCTGGGTGTCCCGGACAGGGAAACCCAAGCTAAGCGGCTTTATCCCCGGAAGGTCTCTGGAGCGTGCCAGCACACTCTGAGGCCCCCTCTGTGAGGCCTGGTGTCCAAGACAGGACCCGGCTGACTGAGGGGGCCCTGAGCAGGGGGAGCTGCGCAGCCTTAACTGCCCCCTGGGCTTCCCACCCTGACTCCTCTCCTCGGCCCAGACCCTGCCTGGCTCTTCCCACCCCTCACCTCCCTGCAGGGCCCCCACCCTGCCCTGGTCCCTAGGGCATTTGCCTTAATCGGGGTGGTTGCTGGAGAGGGGGGCTGAGGCTTAGGGGTGTTGGGGGCTCAGGGTCAAGAGGCAGCATTATGGGAGAAATAGTGGGGAGGGGTGGGGAGCAGGCAGGTAGTGGGCAGGGTCAAAGGTCCACGTGGGGGCTAAAGGGGGAGGAGAAGGTCCCAGAGAAGGTCAAGGAGAAGCCTGGGGTTAGGCGGTGGGGTGGTGGGGCAGAGTTGGGAGACCTACCCTGCTGGTCGTCTGGGTCCTGCAGGCCCTCTGGCTCGTCCCAGAGGCCACTGCTGTCGGCCGAGGTGTCCTGGGCTCCATCCCGGGCCCGGCTCTGCGGGCAGGACTGTGGGGGCCAGGGAGGGCGGGGTGGGAACGCCCGCGCCCAGCTCATCAGACCGGTTGCTTCCCTGGAAGACGTGTTTCGTGTGGAAAAATCCTGGGAGACAAGTTTGTGCGGCGCAGAGCAGGCCTGGAGACACCCGCTTGCACGGCCTGAGCCCGCCCTTACTCTGTCCACTGGCGGGCTCCCCTCCTTCTCCCCT